GTGGATTGATTCATTGATTGGGATAATTGGGATGGGAGTGTCAGAGACAGTGCGATTGGCACAGGACAGAGCGGAGTTTAGGGCTGTTGTACATAGGGTTGCTATGAGTCGCAGGCGACTCGACGGCACATAACAACAACAAACATGTATTGCTCCAAGGTACTGAAGAGCAGTGATGTCAGTCTTGAGACTAAGGTGCATCACGTACAGGCCATGGCCTTTTCAATGACTTACTATGAGAGTTAGACAATGACTAGGGATGATAGACAGAGAATTTCTGCCTTTGAGCTGTGGTGTTGGCGAAGAGTATTGAATATACCATGATCTGCTAAGACAAACCCGGAGATGGTGAAAATACTTGGATGCAAGGATTCTGAAGCTTCTTCTGATGTACTTTGGACATGTTGCAAGGAGGGACTAGACCTTGGAGAAGGATGTCATGCTTTTGAGGGTGGAGGAACAGCACAGGAGAGGAAGACCCTCGATGAGATGGATTGATTCAGTGACTGGAGTAATGGGTGTAAGTGTGCCAGAGACAATGAGATTATCACAGGATACAGCAGGGTTTAAGCCTGTTGTACATAGGGTTGCTATGAGTCACAGGTGACTTGAGGGCATATAACAACAATAACAATAGTAATATTTATTGCAGAGCTTAACACCGAAATCCTTTTTTCCATTGACTGGCTCACCCTTATGTCTGTGAGATGAATTTTTACTATCCTTGCCTCCTAGCTAGTGTCTCCCAAAGCCTGTGTCTTGGGCACCAGAAAGTTATTCTTGCCATGAGTGCTACTGCGGAGTTTGATTTTGGACGGTTACATGCTGTTGTTATTAGAGGCCATGGAGTCCACGACAACTCCCAGGAACCCTACGAACAACAGATTTGAATCTTGCTCTAGGCTGAGTCATCACAATCTCTGATATATTTGTGCCCACTGTTATAGTCAGTGTACCAATTCATCTTGTCTCCTCATCCATTGGACATTTCAAAAGTAAAAGGAATGTTTGGGTTTTCTTATATTCTCAAGTTTATTAAATTTTTTGAAAATTAATCTGAATTTCATATGATTTACTAAGTTTTAAAAATAATTATACTGACTTTACTTCTAATTTTAGACCTGGGACTTCATTAGCTTATTGATACCAGTTCCAAATCCTCAGGAACTGAGGTTGGGAGTTATTCCTACCTCTCTCTCTCTCTGTGTCCCAACAAAGCATCCATTTTAAACTTTGTTCCTTTAAAGACCTTTTCAAACACTTAATGTAGGGCCAAGTGCTATCCTAAGAACTTTACATAATCCTCACAATTCTAGGATGCAGTTGTCATTATTATTTCCATTTAACAGATGAGAAATCGGAGACCTAGGAAAATTAAGTAACTTGCTGTGGAGTTGGATGTTAATGCAGCATTCTAGTTGTAGAGGTGCTTAGTCACTAGCTGATATAGTTCAATACTGCATTGCTTTTCTCATCTAATGACTAATCTTCAATCCTTGGAAGATCAGTGCAGTTAAAGGTACTAACGGATCAAGACTGTATTATTTTAATGCTCCCACAAGCATTACACACCACTGTTTGAGAGGTTAACTGATTTTGAGAAGGTGACCACCCTTCGGATAAATCCCACACAATTACCTTCTTTAAGGAGTCGCAGAAAGGAAGGCCTCATAAGGGAGATGGGGCTTGGGGCTTATAAGACAGGAAGTATATAAAGCCAGCGGCTGACACATCATTTTGGCAAACAGGATGGGGGGGGGAATCTCATTTTCTGGAATGATCAGTATTTGGCCCTGAATAATGGGTAAATGACATTAACTCTTTGGGTCACCTTAATTTTCCAAACCTGTTCTAATTTTGTTTCCCAAACAGACTTTTCTCCATTATCTAACCTCCAAAGCCCCTCCCAAGCCCTTTTGTGATAGATGGTAGCATGCCAAATGAATTACAAAATAGCATGTTTCATTTGCCGGGGGTGGTGGTGGTGGCAATGAAAGCCAGCCCGGGAAGAATTAAAGGGGCTGCTGCGGATTAGGGGGAGGCGGGCTCACACCTTTGCTACCCGCCCTCGCGTGGCCCCGGGCCTGGGAGGGGCGGAGGCGGGGGCCATCCCTCGCCGCCTCCGCCTCGCCTTGGCGAATAGCAGCACGCTACCCGCCCGGATTGGAGCAGCAGCATCACGCTGACCTCTGACTGGGATGTAAACGCGGCAGCCCGCGGCAGGGAGAGGAAAGCGCCTAGCTCCTCCAAGCAAGTCGGCTCCTTCCCAGGCCACTGAGCTTTACTGAGGGGATCCGCCGCAGCTCGGCCCCAGCGGTAGCCAAGGAGGCGGAGGCGCAGCCTGACAGGGGCGCGGGCGGGGAGCGTGCTTCCGTTCGCACAGGCTGCGGGGAGGAGGAGTGGCGGCGCGAGCCATGGCCGGGGACAGCGATCAGACCCTGCAGGACCACCAGCAGCCCAACGGCGGAGAACCCTTCCTCATTGGCGTCAGCGGGGGCACAGCCAGCGGCAAGGTATGATGGGGCCGCCCGGCCTGGAGCCCTTCAGTCCGCCCGGCCCGAGGCAGTTGCTGCAGCCACCGCGTGGCTAGCGCCGCTCGCCGCTCTCGGCAGGGGCCCAGCGCGAAGCCTTGCCCGCGCCTCCTCTGGGTTCGGCGGCGATGGGGGTGGGGGGGGGGCGGGTGTCAGACGAGGACCCGGGAAATGGAGGTTCCGGAGTTCTGTCGGCTACCGGTCCCTTGGCTGGTGGGCTCGCTCTCGGTTCTGATCCTGCGGCCCTGACTCGCGGTTGAGGGTCTTATGGGGGAGGGGCAGGAAAGCGGAGGCTTATTGTTTCGCAAGTGCGATGCCGGAGCGGAGGGCTCGAAGCCGGAGCGGAGGGCTCGAAGCCGGATCTCGGGCGAGCCGCCACCCCGCACACAGCTCCTGCCCCGCACCCTCGCGCTAACGTGCCCGCCCGGCGGGCGGCGCGGCCCGGGCGTTCAGGGCGGAGGGAGCCGAGCCGCTCCTCGGGGAGGGGCTGCGACCGCGGTGGCGGGAGGCGGCGGCCCCGGGAAAGGGGAGCCCCACCTGGGCTAGACGCCCGGCCTGGGGTACAGCAGAGGGTTCTGGGTGGAAGAAAACCGGGGAGGTGCAGTGAGATCAATGAGACTGTGATCAGGAGCCTCTTGTGCGTGTATGTGGTTTTAAGAAGAAACGTGGCCAGCCTCGCTGAGAAAGTTGTTGCTGCCCCCAAGCTCTTTGGTCGCCAGGGCATACCCATCATGCACCCATGGTAAAGGGGCGCCCTGTAGGTGTCTTGACTGCCCTGGAAGCCGATTTTTCTTTGTTTTATTTGCAAGGCAAGGAGAGCCCAGGGAAGTGACTTCCCAGCTATACCCCGGGCGTTTTCTGCAGGTGGCGTTCTCCCAGATGGTCCTTTCTTTGCGTCCCTGACCTTTAAGATGTGGATACTCGTTTCCTTTACAGTTTAACCGCCTCTGACTTAGTTTGGCGCTTGGGCTCGCGAACTGGGGAGCAGCCTCCTGGGTTTTGTGAGGCAGGATGATGGCTCCACGGGCTGGGGCGAGGCAAAGCAGGAAGGCTGGTTGGCGCCATGAGAAGCAGCCACGAGGTTTTCGCTCCCGATCCTACTCTTCCGTAACCCCTCCTCCCCTCCATTTTGGCTTTTCATTTTGCCTCCAGACCTGGACTCCTTCGGCTGTAGGCGCATCATCACAGTCTCTTGTGCAATTTCTTGATTAAGTTAGACGCCCCTCTTCCCTTAGAGCTCCTATTTTGGGTCTACTTTAGCGTCCGAAATCGACTGGACTGCAGTGAGTTCTATTTTCTTGGCAGAGTGGGGAAGAGGATAGGCCTTCAAAGTTTATTTTGTGTTTCCCTGGCTATGTGAATTTTTAGAAACTGTTTTAATGTGTGGCTATCTGCCATTACCGACAAGTTGATGCCGACTCATGGTGATCCCGTCCCCCATCGGGTTTCTGGGGTGCAGAGACTAATTCCCATCTAGTTCTTGCTGAGGCCTGGTGGATTCGAACTGCAGACTATTTAGTTAGCAAACTAGTTGGACTACTTGTACACTTCAGATGCCTAGTGATTCAAAGCAAAACCATGGCAATACCGAATTCAGGAAGAGTTTCTACTTTTTAGGATAAATGTTGCCCTCCTGTTTCCATAGATCTACCTCTTGCATGGGACTTCCCCTCTTGTTTCATGACTGTATCCTCTGCTCCCAGCACAATGCCAGGCCTGTGGTTAGGGCCTAAATATAAACGGATGATCTGAGGTTCAGCTCTCCTAGGGAGAAGGAGACAGAACTGCATTTAAGTGTGGGTTTTAGAACAACTGGGCATGGCCTTGATAGCCATCCAGGTAACTTAGTTACTACAGAGGTGAGAAACCTAAACCAAGTCCACTGCTGTCAGATCAGTTCCACGTCAGTGAAGTGCTTCATAGGCTGTACATTTTTCTGAAGGAAGGAGACTTTGATTTTTCTCCCATACAGCAGCCGCTGATGGATTCTAAGTTAGCAGCTCAGCATGTTCTACAGTACACCAACCAGCAGGGTTCCTTGTGGAGGTGAGACTGAGACCCGAAATAGGGAAGGAGCCTGAATCCTCCTTATTTTTATGTGTTGCTTTTTTTTTTCAATCATAACTGCTTTTCAGTTATAATAATCAGTCTAAGATGTGTTACCTAGTGAGTTGTTATGTGTCATCCTGGAGTCCTCTGCGACTCACAGCCACTCTGTGTAGGACAGCTCTGAAGCCTGTCCTGACCTGAGCCAGTCTCACTGACTTTGACACAGCAACACTCATTGTGCAAATTACTGAATCCATCTCATCCTCGGTCTTCCTCTCCTGTGCTGTCCTTCCACCCTTCCTAGAACGATGTCCTTCTCCAAGGACTGGTTCCTCCTGGCCACATGCCCAAAGTATGTGAGACAGCTTGAGAACCATTATGGAGGTGTCTGCTGTCTCCCTCAACAAGTATGGTGGCTTGTTTTCAAGGATGTTGTATATTTTGATCATATAAATATTTTGTCATTGCTTAAAATTATGTATTTTTTAAATTAACAAAACAAAAAAGCATGGGACTTCCTTTTTTTAAAGTAATTTT